AGGGGAGAGAAAAGTGAGAAACCAGAATTATTGTTATCCTTAGCAAGACTTTCAGCCTTCCTGAGACAGCAAGTGTTTAAAATATTCACAATGGAGGGGAGCTGTTCTCCAATAATGGACTGAGCTGAACTGATCACCCCCTGTAATGCCTTTCGGTCAAACTACGAGCTGCTGAGAACCACACTGTAACAAGCAAAACAAAAACTGGTACAGAATTACAGAAAAACACTCAATAAACAGCATACTATAAATCAATTTGCTTGTTGAAGCAAAAGCATGGTTTCCTTAAAATCCCTTTTATAGTGCATACTTGCAATATATAGTTTAGTGTGATTTCATGTACAGTATGCAGCCATCAGTCATTCAGGTCACTTCTGGTCTCTTTTTTTGCTTTTATTTATGGTTTGTCTTTTGTATAATATACAGTGAAAACCTAAAATAAAATTGTTTTCTAATTGTTATTAAAACACAATTACTAATAATTCTGTACGCTAAATTCAAAATTAAAAAATCTGCTAGTGTTACTGTACTGTATGACTAGAGTAGGAAAACAAATGTTTTTTTCCAACTTAGGAATGTAGCAAAAGTTAGATCATTTCTGTTTGTGTGATTCTGAGAAATTGATACATGCATTTGTTACTGGCAGACTTGATTACTGTAATGCTCTTTATACTGGATTGCCTAAAAAATGTATTGATAGATAAAATGCTAGTGCAAAATGCAGCAGCAAGAATTTTAACTAAAACTGAAAAAGTGAGATCATATAACTCCTGTGTTGGCTACACTGCATTGGTTATCTGTTGCTTTTAGAACTGATTTGATTTAAAGGTTCTCTTCCTTGTTTTCAAAGCTTAGCACCAGAATGTATCTTACAGAATGAATATCAAACTATACCACGGGCCATCTTCTTAGATCCTCAGGTGCAAGTCTACTGAATATTCCAAAGGTTAAGCATAAGATTATTGGAGAGACAGCCTTTTGCTACTCCACACCCAACTGTGAAATAGTATTCCTAAAAATATTAGGGAGGCTGGCTCTGTGTATATTTTTAAATGGCAGCTTAAAACATATTTTTTTACTCTTTTAATTGATTTTCTTATATGATTTTAATTATATTTGTGTTTTTGTATGGTTATAGGAATAAACGAATGGGTTCATACACATTTTTATTATTAAAAGAAGCTGCCTGGCTGTGGATACACAGCACATTAAAGATTCACTGTGCCACTGGCAGTTTTACAGAGTAGTGAAGTCCTCAGCATCAGATTATTTGAAGAAATTTAAAGGTGTACCACAGCATGTTTCTTTAAAATTGAATTAAAATGTAACTTAAACACCCATCAAAGGATATGGCTTTTATATTTTATGTAAAATCTGTTTTCAACATAATTCTCCCATAAGCATAATGCTAAAAACAGAATATTGGTTTTAACAAAATTTTGTGGAAGATACCTTACTATTCATTGTTTTACCCTTTTTTATCATTAAATCTATTTTAAAGTAGTTCAAGTTTTATTCCATGCTGAAAAGAGAAGAGAGAAAACACAACATTTCGGCTGTGAAGCCTTCTTCAGGTGTGAGGGTCTTCGGCTCAAAATGAAATGCTTGGAGGTTTATTCCATGCTGAAAAGAGTAGAAAAAAATCACTGTGGAGGCTTCTTCAGATGTATCCTATATTTTTTGTTCTTATATTTTAAAAACGATATATCTTTGTGGTAGGTGGCACAGTGGTTGGGGAGTTGGGGCCATGGGTTTAAAACTGGACTTGGGTGCTGTCTGCACTGAGTTTGTATGTTCTCCCTGTGATCGCCACGTGCTCCAGTTTCCTAACGAAATCCATAGACCTACTGTTAACATTGTCAACATGGTATTGGAGAGTGGCGACACTTTGCACGTTGCCCCTTGTCTGTATGTCTTTCTCTGTTTCATGTAGGCTTTTTGTTATCTAGTCTACCTTTTCAGCAATTATTTATGATCAACGATTGCTTGTGGAGATTAGATTGAGAATCATTGACTTAAAAACAGATATATCCTATTTGAATCTAAATAAACTCTCATGGGTGCCTCTGCGTATGGACCTCCCTCCTGACTCACTCTGGCGAATGCGACAGACACAGAAGCACCATAGATGGGGAGACCTTCAAGTGAGACTGAAATGCCACGGCTACTGGACGAATACTCGTGGCCTAGTGTTCTCTTGGCCAATGTGTAATTTGTGGAGAACAGGAGGCATGAGCTAAGAGGAAGATTAAGTCATCAACAAGGTGTCAAGGATTGCTATATTCTCTGCTATTCTCACAGAGACCTGGTTGACCCGCAATACTCATGACTCAGCCGTTCAGGTTGACAGATTCTCCACCTATCGTATGTCAGGCTGAAGTCAGGGCAACTTTCAAATGGGTGAACCGGCCTAGGCAGCATTCCTGATGGGTCCTTAAGTCCTCTGCAGTTTTTACGTATATTTTAAATCTTTCGCTTTTACAATGTTTTACAATCTGCCCTTCCTGTGTGATTTAAGGAAAACCACCATTATACCAGTGCCGAAGAAAAATACTGCAACCTGTTTTAATGATTACAGGCTAGTTGCGCTCAGATCTACCATAATGAAATCCTATGAAAGGCATATAAACTTAATGATACCCGAGTCTTGTGACTCTTCATGCTGCCTTGTTTCATTTGGATGATAGACACAAACGTCAGAGTGCTATTCATTGTTTACAGCTCTGCATTTAACATTGTATTTCCATTAAGACAACTCATCAAGCTTAATGATCTTGATATCACCAGAATCTCTGCTCCAGGATTCTGGATTTTCTGACTGGGAGACCACAGTCTTTGAGGGTCGATGAAAAGCTTTCTTCCATGCTGACTGTAAATATACTGATGTAGTCATTCTGAATGTGTGGTAAAACCTGTAATGCGATACAGATGCTGCACTTTACCATGCCATGTGATTCACTGGCCAAAATGATCGACAGGTGCCACTTGTGGTGCATTACATGTTAGTGAAATGATTGCTAGTTTAATCTCTCTACTGTGTATGTTTAAATTAACTTAATTTAGGATATTAATAGGAAATTAATTTTAAATAAGAATTTTACAACTGAACTGCTGTTATTATTTCAGTAAAAACATGTGTACTTTTTAGAATTTTCAAAATGTTTCCAAAATATCCACAAGTGATATTTTTAACTGCTGAAATTTCTTTAGTTACACGATTCCACTACCATCTACTGTAAGTACATTAGGTATATATTATGTATGAGACCGTATGGCTTTAAGCCACTACAGTACAGTATGTGTAAAGTATATTTTTCATAATCAAAATTTAAAGTTAAATTATCCTGATTACTCATTGCTAACATTTTCATTAAGGCGCAATATAGATTATCTCAATGCGGATATAAGCCTTAAAGAAGCACATCGGTTCACAACAAGTCACACTAGAATAATAAAACTATTTTTCATATTTTGAACTGAGTAATGTTCTTTTTGTAAAAAATCACTTTTCTCTTTTTTAAATTAATTTAAAATACTGTATACATAGTTTAAAATTAATTAAAGTCTAATCACTATACAACTTAAATTCTATAATTGGAAAAAGATTGTCCCCCAGCATTGACTGGGATTTGAAACCAGGCATTTTCTGGAGAAAGCCCAAATGTTAAGCTTTACTGCTCCACCTGGCAGTTTTACAAAGTACTGCAGTCATTAAAACATTTTTTAAAAAGGTGCAGTATCCCGCAGCACGCGCACTGCAATGTACTGCATTATCTGCCGTGCATTCTGAATGGCTGGATCTGTAGGGGCCCCCCGGGACCTTGTGTGCTTAGCTCCCTGCTGTCTTTCTTGTTTACCCAAGATTGTGTGGCCACAGCTCCAACTCCATCTACAAATATACTGATGACACTTCCATCATTAGTTGAATCACCAGTAATAATGAAATGGCCTACAAGGATGAGGACAGGAACCTGGTGGAGCTTTGCCCTCAGCATTGGAAAAACTTGGTTGTGGATTTTAGAAAGCAGGCTGGGGACCACACCCTTATTCATCAATAGGTTGGCTGTAGGCAGCTTCAAGTTCCTGGGTACCTTCATTACTAAATATTAAACGTGGTCACAGCATATAGTGGATAGAAAAAGTATACACACCCTTATTGAAATTGCAGGGTGTACGCTTATGCAACCAGAGTGTTGTAGGTTTTTTAATTTCAATTACTTTTCCTAATAATGATCTATTAATGAGCTACAAAGAAGGCTCAATAGTGCCTTTACTTCCTCAGACAGTTGAAAATTTGGTCTATCTTCAACTATTCTTACATTTTACAGGTACGCTATTGAGAGTGTTCAACACATGGTATTACAGTGTGGTTTCTCAGCAGCTCGTAGTTTGACTGAAAGGCATTACAGGGGGTGATCAAGCTGTCTCAGGAAGGCTGAAAGTCTTGCTAAGGATAACAGTTCTGGTTTCTCACTTTTCTCTCCCCTTTCCTCTGGTAAGCATTATAGGAGCATAAAGGCATGTACCTCCAGATTCAGAGACAGTTCCTTCCCACAATCTGTCAGATTACTGAACTTTGCCACTACCATTGACTCACACTGATGTTTGTTTCTCTTCTGACACTGCTTGTCTGACTTGTTTTTTTAAGTTTTATGTTATTTAACTTTGTTGTTGTTACTGTTGCTATTTCCTTAATGTCTTTGTATCTGAGCATTCATGCAAATAAGCATTTCATTGCACTTGTACATGTGAGTGACAAATAAACTATACTGTTAGGTTAATTGACTTCTGTAAAAATTGGCCCTGGTGTGAGAGTATGCATGTCTGTGTGTACCCTGCAGTGGACTGTCCGGTCCAGTGTGTATGCTGCTTTGTGCCTGTTGCTCCCTGGGATAGGCTTTGGTTCCCCTGTGGCCCCAAATTGAAGTAGTTAGCAAATTAATGGGTTCATTGATGTATTTTGAACAGTCTCACCCAAGACCTTTTTTTTTTATGCTTAGGGGGAACAGCTCAGAGTGCCTCCAAATAAATGTTGCCCTGAGTGTGACCTACAGACCCAAGGGTTTTGTCAATATGAAGGACAGATCTATGGGGTAAGATGAATGCTCTTCTTAACACATGATAATAACAGAGAGAAATAATATAAAATTGACATAGCTTTTTATCATTACTTTAAAAAGTCTGATATCTCTAACATGTTATTAATGATGTATTTTGTTTTTTGCAAATCGAACATCCCACTTTTCATGACAATCTTTAAAAACCTACTTAAAATTCTATTTACATAGATAAAGTAATTGATATATTTAAGGTGGGTAGCTGCGTCAGCATGTTTGGGCTGCAAAGGATAATAGGTTTATTCCATGCTAAAAAGAGAAGAAAGAAAACAAGTTTCACATGTGGAGCCTTCTTCGGGTATGAGAAAGACAGAGGAGACAGCAAAGATTTAAATAGCATAGGAGAACAAAAGCTGGGAGAGTGGAGGAGGCGGGAGCAGAGGAGAGGCAGAGAGGCCGCTCAGGTGGTGCGAAGCGCAGAAAGGTGTGAACTTGAAACCTGCATGCGAATAGAGAAAATTACACAAAAACAAGTCTGTCATTCACACTTTCCCCCTTCTCTCAGTGACTGACTTGTATATCCTTACTGAGCACTGATCAAATATTTTTGCTTGCATCAATGATTGCAAATAGATTAGGTAAGATTGTTCCTAGTTTAATTTGATCAGTCAGGTTTTGTACCAAATAGACTTTTAAGTGATAACGTTAGACATACATTTAATGTGATTGAGCATTCTCAAAAAAGAAAGGAGCAAGTATTACTGTTACTGTTACTGTTAAGATGAGGAGAAAGCCTTTGATAGGGTTTTATGGCCATCTATATTTGAGACTTGCAGAAAATTTAACTTTGACTGTTTTCAGTTGGCTTCAAATTATATATAGTGCACTCAGAGCTAGAGTAAGAGTTAATGGAACACTGTAAGATTATATTAGTCTTTTATTAGATAACTCTTTAAAACATATTTATTATTTAATATTATAACTATTTTGAAAAAAAATGTATTCAGAATACTGTATAAGTATAGGTTACTGTCTGTAAAAATAAGCAGATAAAAGAGGATTTAATATATTTAAGGGAAATAAAGACTAACCCAGATCTTAAACCAAATACATAAGATGATACTTTTAAGTTATGGGCAGATAGAGGACTGATTAGGTATCATCAAATAATTCCCGATAAAGGGGTAGATTCATTTGAGGATTTATGTAAAAGATATAACCTCCTAAAGTCTCTATTTTGCAAATATTTGCAAATTAGAAGTTATATTACAAAGATTACAAAGAAGAGAATTAAGAAAACATTTAATGAAATTCATCTTTTGATTCAGTCTATAGCAAATACATATGATAAGTTACATGTTAAGAATGTGTTGGGTCAATTTAGTCATTTGTTGGGAGATAAATTAAAAGTAGGATAAATTAAAAGTTATTGCCAAATGGGAAAATGAGTTACAAGTAGAATCACATGTTGGGAATGATATTTCTCAGAATACTTTTAAGACAGCTAATTCTTGGTTTTAGAGGGAATATGCACGAAAAATTCAGATTAGATTTTTTAAAACACCTATAATACAAACTAAATATAATAGAACAAAAACAAACTGCTTGTTGGATAAATTGTGTGACTAAAGCTCCTCATACACATATTTTATATACCTGCCCTGTTTTCAAAGGATTATTTTTAAATGTCAACTCTATGCCCAGTGAACTTCATGGAAGAACTCCACATATCTTGTTTCCTGAAATAGATAAGTGTCTCATTAGAATATTAAGAAAAAAATACATTTTAAAGCTAATACAAAATGCTTAATTTGATTTGAGGTGCTTAAACCCCAAGCACCTCAAATCAGTAAACAGACCAAAACAATTAGTGAAGTCTTTAAAATAGAATGGATAGATTAAGGAATCAGAATAAGCTTTTTGAAGATGGAAGAAAATTAGAATGAGTAATATTGTGCGAAGTGATATTATGTGAAATAATGAAAGATAAAGATAATAATTGTTTAATTAAATGATTATTTTATTAAAGTAAATTAAGTTTGATCGTTCAGAAACAAAGGACATTCTTTAAGAAATATAAATATGAAATGAAATGTATATATGAATATAGTTTTTACGGATGTTTTGATTATGTATTATTATTTATGTAAACTGCTTTATTTGGAGAGGGTGTGGTGGAGCGGTTAAGGGGAATCTTTTTTGTGGGTGCATATCCTGTTTTTTTTCTTTATTGCTTATAATGTTTATGACAGTTATGGAAAATATTGGATAATCATAAAAAAATACATCATGTAAAAAAATCAATTAAAAAAATCAGTTAGCCTTCCTTGAAATCAAACCTGTGCTGAATATGTATTGTGGTCTGCTGTTAATCTTTTTTGAAACTAGGCACACTTCGTAGATGTATCTCCTTGGAAATTAATAAGAAATGGACAATTGTAAAATATAAAATTAAAAAAAGGAATGCAGTGTGAAACATTATGTGTTAAAGGATCTCAAAATGATATGATGCAGTTGTCAACTGAGTTTGTATTGTAAAGAAAATAGAATGTTTTTAGCACATCAGTAAAGGAAGCATCTGCTGTTTCCATTTTTGACTTTGTCACAGCATGATAGTCAGTGGTCCATCTCCAAGTGCACAGTGTGTTTGTGTTCTCACGGAAAAGTTGAGTGTAGCCCAAAGTCCTGTCCTCTTCTTCATTGTGGGAGAGAAGAAACTCAACTCATATCCTCAGGAGACTGCTGCCCTAAATGTGTGCGAAATGGAGGTGAGACATTTTTTTCTTAATATATATTTTCTCTGTTCATCCTGAAGAAATTGCATTTTTGCACCCGACAATCCTGAATATATGAAAATTAAATATTTTCAATAATTATAGCTTTAGTGTGTGCGGGGAATATGCTAGTAATACCAGCATTGAAGACAGATACATTTTAACATGCAAAGGTTTATTCTGTGTCATTAGTCAATATAAAGATATAAGAAACAAAAATGGACACAACAGTGTAATGTCAATAAACAGGGCACTGGGCCTCCTTGTGCGGCCAGTGAGGCTTGTACAGATGCAGCCAATCAAAACGAGCGGGGTATGCTGCGGTACAACGCGGTGGGCGTGTCGCATTAAAATGTGTCATAACACGTATGTCATGTCATACCGCGCCCTACCGTATGCAAATAAGATTATGTTAATAGTATCCAGAATCACCTTGTAAAACCGCCAGGTGGAGCTAATAAAGTTTAACCTCTCATGTACAGCATTTGAGCTGTCACCAGAAAACAATCAGTTTCGAATCCAGATCACTGCTGAGAGACAATCTTTATTCAATTAAGAATTTAAGTTGTATACTATTCAGACTTTTAAATTTAAACTGTGTATTACAGCATTTTAATCATTATACATTAAAAAGTTGGTATATTTTATGAAAGCAGGATTGCTAAGTTGGACAAAAGTACACAACCTACCACCTTTATCATAAATATTTCAATTATGCAGAAATATTTTATGCATCAAAGTCTTTACCGAAGATATTACTAATAGTATTAATAATAAATGACCGTGGACAAGCTGTAAACTCAAAGTATTACCCTGGTCCACATTCTTTGCAACCATCTTTGTAACTGAAAAGACTTTATTTTTTCATTGACAAAAAGTAACACCACAGCATTTCGTTGATCCGATCACGTATTCATTTCCAATCATACAAAGTAAGTATTTCACATGCTCATAAACTATATTAATTTAGGAACAGAAACATATTATGTAATGTGTTTATTGCTGGTCTTGGTAGTTTAAAGAAAAATACACACCAGTATTCCATTTCTCCCTAAACATTTTAAGCATCTTCTTACATGTGGTTATTTCGGAAACGTGCTCCTTCTGACCATATTATTGTACTTTTATATACTTTGTGAAAAGTGATTGTTTCAACCTTTTCTGCGAATATGTTCATTATCGCAGTAAACAAAAGCATACTTTTAGAATTTGATTAATAGGAAATATAATGTGGAGTCACATATCTAAATAAATATCTATATCCATGTACTGTTGCACTAACAGTAGTATAAGACTTTCCATTGATATGTGTATGGCTGTTTCAGTAGTTGTCACATGACTTGCCTTGGTGGCGTGATAGCCTAAGTGACTGATTTATAACCATGAGGTCGGGTGTTCAAACCCAGCTGTCGCCATGAGTTTACTTTTAACAAATAAACATTTCTTTGAAAAACTAAAATAGCAAATATTATTGCCATTATATTGACATTTTTTATATTTCTAAATATCACAACATGTTCATACTGTATGTACACAGCGGTACGGCAGGGTGTAGGGCGCAAATCCACGTGAGCCCAAAAGCCCTACATTAATATTATGCATTCTGAGTCTCTGTGCCTACATTGTTTGTAAACAAACTGGTTTCACAGGTATTTTCAAAGTAGAACAGGGCAAGTCTTCCAATGAAAGAGACACTCCACCTTCCCCGACGGACACATGTTTTCTTAGAAAGACAGATTCACAACGCACAGCTGTGTCAGTCTTCTGTGTAAAAAAAATCAGTTTGAACCATGGGTGCTGTTTTTACGACGCTGTATAGGAATAAAGTATAGGAATTTTCTTGCTGTCAGCAGTATCGTGTATATAGTTGACTCTTACCTTAATGAAAACAGGAGATAAGGAAAGGGTTTCAGAAATCAAACAAAGCTTTATTCCTGTGCTTACAGTCTGGGTAATTGGAGGCTACGCTGTTATGTTTCCTATGGTGATATACAGGTTTTTCGCACGAAGCCATATTGAGCAGTATTTCTCGCACTGTGAGCATATGTACACAGCGATCCCCTCGGGTTCCAGTTAGTGCGTAATTACGCATCAATGAAAAACCGGAGGTTTAAAAAAAGATAATTAGCTCACTGATAGTTTTATGTGGAGGCTGTGAACATTTTCACAAGTCGTGGTCTTTAAAATACATTTGGTTTGAAGGCTTTCTGTGTTTCCCTTCCGAAGATTTGAAAAAAAGAATATACTAGCATGGTTAAAAAAATGGCTTAAAAACGACATGAAGGCTGTGAAAACGGTCACAATGTACTTTGTGCACACAGCAGGTGTTTTCGTAACTGTAGGAGGTTTCGTGAAAAAGCTACAGGCGTGCCAATATCATTTTCGAACTTCAAGCTAACTTTACCCTTGTTTGGGCATCGCATTATTATCTCATTCACCTGCTAATTTGTTTTACACCACGGGAAGACAGGAGAATGTGATTGTACTGTATCTGTACGGAAGTGTTTAAAATGTATAATTAAATTTTTTTTTAAACTTGCAGCTTACTCAAAGATTCTAAGATGATCACGAGGAAGTGTATTGCATGTCTATTGGTCTAACAAAAACTACAGTATGCTTAAGAGTTGTTAAACCGGGTTTTATTTTTCGGCACAGCCAGCTGGCACGAACCACACAGACACCAGCTAGCCTGCTAGAGCGCCACAATTCACACTCAACCACATAACAGATCACAGATGTATGAGATATTGCTGTTTGATCTTTTATCTGAGCTTTAATAGAGAGCTTATCTCTATTAATACGCTGGGCAAACGTACTGAGGTTGAATTCTTCCAGGACCGGGGGTACCTTTGAAGTGGAGACAACGGCACCGAAAATTTTTATTGCGCCCTCTCTTTAAAGCCCTGGTCAAATGTGAAGACAGTATGTACAGTTATAATTCAAACTGAATTAAAAACTACACATCCCAGTTACCATGGTGGTGCTTGTGATCATTGCGTTTAACCAACAAAACAGGGCGAAAATAAGTCACATGACTTTGGGGCTGAGTTTCGAATCAGCAACAAAGTGAAATCTACACGATAGGCTACTTCAAACTATCAGTTACATGACTGTATATATCGCTTAAGCCACTCCTGTTTGGCATTTTAGTTATGGAGGCAGGAAGACGCCCCCCCACCCTCTGTCGCCATCTTTAACCGTTCCATGTCCAAATCACAGTAGATAAAGACACTTACAAAAAGTTAATCCCAGCTACAATACATATATATTTTTGTGGTAAGAGGGAGCGAAACATCAGTATTTATTGCTAGTAATTAGTGTACGATTTATAGTTGAAATGTGAGCCTAAATATAAAGTTAAAATCTCGACAAAGCAATGTAGGAAAGTCGCACACAGAAATACACAGAAATAAGTATCACGTTAAGAAACAAAAGTATGCACAATAATCAGAACAATTATAAAACAGAAGTAGATGTTAACTTCCCATCTGTTTATATTCAACACATGGATTTTCCAGTGGACACATGAATACAGTCACTCAATAGCAAACAACTAGCCTGGCAGTAAACACATGCACCTTCTTTCTGGCTCACTTAGTGAGAGGGCTGGTGCTGTTTGACACATACCAAATGCTGGATGTCGTGCTACAGAGAAGAAAGTTGCAAGAGGAGGTCTGGCTCAACATTAAGCTTACTCCTGTGTTTGGGCTTTAGTGCCACCAGTGCAGAAAATCCAGTTTCACAAAGATACGCTGTTGGAAACGGCATCATAAATCTCACTGCTTTGTCTGAACATTTAGGATACTCCGAAGTAACATGAAGCCAAAAATTTAAGAATTTCTTTGAAAAAATCAATTTTAAAGCATTGTGACAGGATAGGACCTCAAGGCCGTCTTGCTCCTTTGCGCTCAAACTGGCGAGGGCCACTTCACATTGGTTTACAAAATGATTTTCAATCCTGCTGAACCAAACATCTGGAGCTGGGAAGTAGTCGCGCAGTTGGGTCCTCAAACTTTGCAGGTGCTCTGTAATTAACTTTGTGTTAGAGGCTGGTAGCTGCTTTTGTTCTTTTGTTAGAAAGTCTGACAAATTTTCAAAGGAGTTGTAGTTTGAGTGGTTGATATGTTTGGTGCACATTTCCAGTTCCTTTATTGTGGCTTCTGTTTTACTTTGGATGTGAAAAATTATCACTGCTTTACCTTGAAGAATTTGCTAACACTTCGGAACACACAACACACAGCAGAAGCGGCTCCTTTTCAGTTCCCATGCATGTAAAACCTAGAGCTAGGTACTCACTGCTGTATTTTCTCTTTTTTAGTTTGGGTTTGGATTTTGGGTTTGGATTTATCAGTAGGAGACACTGAAGCAGTTTGTTTGTAGATGGGCCTTCCTGTGTCTCTTTCCTCATACGAGAACCTAACGAAAGCCACTTATCCTTGATATGAAGGGTAATTAGGCAGTTATACTACATTCTGCATGAGCTTTCTTGTCATATCACATATAAGGACATTAAATGGAGGTCAAGCAGCATGCTAAGCTATAATATCTATAAAATACTTTTGTTATTAATATAATTATGTTATGTTATATATTTATGACTTACAATTACAACAATCATTTGATGGCCCCCCTGCAGTAAGGAGCCACAGCCCACAGGTTGAAAACCACTGCCTGAGATTTTTACATTTGTTAGTTATGGTGTAATTTAAAAAAAATGAAATAAGATATAAATTATACTGATGCATAACAGTAGAAGGTTTTTTACACCATACCACTAGGGAGGTTAAAGTAAAGATTACAACTGTCACTGAGCCAGACAGAGAATCCACAAGTGAGAAGGTATGAGAGATTTTTAGGCTAAAAAGAAAAATCAACTTGATATTCCACTAGAAACTTAACATAAACATGTTACTGAAGTAAGTTCTTCAGTTTCTTACCAAGTTGTCTAAATTTGTTCTGGATTGAAAGTGTGCTCTTTAATCTAATGTAAATTGTTTCTACCAGGACAACAACAACTGGGTTAACAAGTTGGTGCCTGTTAACTCTATGGATGATATCAGTTACCTCAGAAAAACAGCAAACTTGTCAGTAGGAGTGTTCCAGACAATAGAGTCTCCAATAACCACCACTTCTCTTTTTGGATTTCTAGAGATGAAGGTGTCCTGACCTAAGATTTCATGTTTGATTCCATTTCCTGGAGTAGGGCAGATTTGTTTGATGATCGAATTAGCTAATTCCTATTTTGTGGTCACACAGTTATAGCTCTGTTAATGGAACTGACCTGTGGTAAAGTCTATCACTCTGATAACTGTTCTCATTACTTATTGTTTCTCCTACAGTGTCTTGCTCCTTTGAAGGTCAGGAGTACAAGGATGGGATGGAGTGGCAGCCCAGACCCTGCTCCAAGTGCTCTTGTAGGAATGGTGAAACAATATGCTACATTATTGAATGTCAGGCTCTGATATGCAAGCCTGTAAGTAACCTTTCATTCAGGATCAATGGCATTTTTATTTTAAAAATGGCTAGAGGAAGTTTTTAGTACACACTACTGTATATAAAGTGTATATTAAGTAAATCTGTATATTATTCTTCTTTAGCCTGAAGACATTGCATTATCACTTTTGTAATAATTCTCTGTATTTTAAGTTACATTTGTGGCTAAGGTAAGTGCAATTACTATTTTTAATACATATGGGTTAACACAAAATAAGTAAGGGTAAGTGTTTTCATTCATACAAATCAATTTTCATACTTTTTTCATTTATGTGCCATTGTCCTATTTGGAAGACCAGATGGATGTAGAGAAGCTAGCACTTTTCTTTTTTCCAATTAAAAGAATATTCTGAAGCCACAAATTTATGTAATTCTTAAACTCATTGTCAGCAGGTCTTACCATGGCAAGTTGAAGGGAATTTATCACTGTTTTTAAAGGTTTTATGGCTTACCTTTCAAAATTGTACCTTATGCTTAATATTCTTAATGTACCTTCAGTTTATTGTGCTTTTCTGTAGTCAAGGTATTAGGTACAATGTTGAATGTTTAAACAATTAAGTGAAAGAATCTGTATCAGAATATGCTTCTATTTTTTATAAAGGAAGAATGGTTATTATAATATTCTAGACAAAAAAACTGACATAAGTAATCTCGCAGTGTTTAAATGATGTGGTCAGAGTGGCTTTGTTTTGAAAAATCTTGTTTTACTTTGAAACTCAGTATTAGTATTCTTTTTACCCTGTTGCCTACACTATCATTGCTTAGATACAATGCTATAAAAAAGTTAGTACACCCCATGTAAAGGTGTGTTTTTCATCATATTTCTATGTATGGGTATTTGGTCTTCATTTCAATAATATTGATGGATAAAGGTGATCTAATTTAACAAATAACAATTAAAATTATTCTTTCCAATCATTTATTCAACAAAAAAAGTCAGAAATGAAATTGTCTGCTTTGGCAAAAATAAGTACACCCCTAGCTTCAATAGCTTTGGCAGAAATCACTTCTTGTAGGCGTTTCTTGTAATTGTCTATCGGTCTCCTAAATCGGACTTGGAAAGAAATTTGCCCACTCCTCCTTACAGAACTCCTTCAACTGTGTGATGTTTGATGGCTTTCTTGCATGTAATAATAATAATAATAATAATAATAATAATTATAATAATAAACTTTATTTTATATAGCGGCTTTAAAGGTGGCTTCTCAAAGCGCTTTACAGGATGACAATAACAATAAATAAGAAGACTACAACAATAATTAAGAAGATTTCACAAGATAGGACACAATTATAATTACAACAATACAACAATAACAATAGAGGAGACCGTGGAAGGTGGTATTAAGAAGAGCAGAGGGGTGAAGAATGGAACCAGTTAAGTAAAGGCTTTTCTGAAGAAGAAGGTTTTGAGTCTGGATTTGAAGGAGTTTAGAGAAGATTACTCTCTAATATCCTTGGGCAAAGAGTTCCAAAGCTTGGGGGCATAGCAGGAGAAGGCCCTGTCACCCATACAATGAAGATGGGCTTGGGGGACAGTAAGGAGGGCAGAATTTGAAGAGCGGAGGTTGCGAGGTGGGGAGTAGGGCGATAAAAGTTCAGACAGGTATTAAGGTGCCAAGCCATGTAAAGCCTTATAGGTGAGCATGAGGATTTTAAAGTCTACGCAGAATGTGACCGGAAGCCAGTGCAAGCCAGTGCAAGGACTCCAAGGACAGGATAGGAGTAATGTGAACACTTGCACTAGACCTGGTCAGGATTCTGTCTGCTGAATTTTGGACATACTGCAGCTTGTTCAGAGTAGATTTAGATACCTCAGGGAGTAGAGCATTGCAGTAGTCGATTCTTAGAGAATACAAATATGTTGATCAGCTTTTCAGCCACAGTTAATGATAGCATAGGGCGTAGTCTTGCAATATTTCTAAGGTGAAAAAAAATATGGTTTGACAGTATGCTGTACATGTGAGTCGAATGTTAAGCCAGAATCGAATATAACCCCAAGGTTTTTCAATTTTGATTGAAGCTCAAGTACAGAGCCATCTACAGACAGGGTTACAGGAGTGGCTTTACGAAGTTGATGGGGGGTACCAATAAGCATGACTTCAGTCTTGTCACAGTTAAGATGAAGGAAGTTTTGAGTCATCCAAATTTTTATGTCAGAGATGCAATTAGATAGAATAGAGACAGCCACATCAGTGTCGGGTTTGGTATGGATGTATACTTGAGTATCGTTAACGTAAAAATGAAAGCTGAGGCCATGTGATCTTAAAAGCTGACCAAGTGGGAACATGTAAATGCTGAAGAGCAAGGGGCCCAGTATTGAGCCCTGAAGGACACCAGACTTGACAAGACCAATTTCAGACCTGTACCCATTGAGAGAGACAAAGTGACAGCGATCAGTGAGGTAAGACTTAAACCATTTGAGGGCAGTGTCAGAGACTCCAAACACAGTCTGCCCTCTTCAAGTCCCCCACAGCATTTCTATGGGGTTAAGATCTGGGCTTTGACTTAACCCTCCAATTCTTCTTTTCGAGTCATTCTTTTGAGCTTTTGAGGATTTGCTCGAGCGTTTAGGGTCATTGTATTGTTGCAAGGTCCACTTACGGTTCAGCTTCAGCTTTTTGACAGATGACCTCACATTCTCCTCAAGTGCTCCCTGGTACATTGTGGATTCCATGATTGACTCTATGATGGCAAGCTGGCCAGGCTCTGAGACAGAAAAGCAGCCATGGTTTTCGCCAAACATGGCATTTGGCATTGTGGCCAAACAGCTCTACATTTGTCTCATCCGTCCAGAGCACAATTGTTCTAATAGTCCTGATCTTCACCTAGGTGTTGTCTGGCAAACATCAGTCATGCATCTATATTCTTTTTTGAGAGCAGAGGCTTCTTCCTTCCTGACCTCGCATGGAGGGCAAAGGTGTACAGTCTCTTTCCGATTGTTGACTCATGCATTTTGACATTGACTGGGGCAAGAGTTTTGGAGACTTCCTGCAGCATCTTTCGGTCAGCTCTTAGGTTGAATTTGGTGGGTCTACCTGGACAGATTGCCAGTGGTTTGAAATTTTCTCCATTTGTAGATGATCTTTCGGAAAATGGAGTGATTGATTAAAAATTGCTTGGAAATGGCTTTAAAATCCTTCCCAGACTCACAGGCATCAACAATCTTTCTTCTGAGGGCCACAGAGAGATTTTTTAATCTTGGCATGATGTAGCCACACACCTCAGTTGCTAAGACCAAACCAGACCACAGGTTTCTGATGTTTATATAAGGCAGTGCCCTCTCAAGTTACCCTCTAATGATGTTCTAATCATTTGCACCTGTTTTAGTGCACCTGATTCTAATTTTAGGCATTTGATGCAATGATAAAGGGAGGGGTGTACTAACTTATTCCGCATAAGGAAATTGCAAAATGAGTGCAAAATGTGATTTTTCACTGTTATTTTTTTAATTAGACCACCTTTATCTATCAGTATTGTTGAAATGACAATCAATATCCTTTTGTCCAAAAATGTAAAAAAAGACAAACTTTTTCATGGGGTGTACTTACTTTTTAACACCACTGTATTTAAATTAGTAGATATCCTAAAAATCTCAGTGTAATCCTCAAATTGTAAAATGTTCCTGTGCTGTTGGGGAAATAAAACATTTCCTATGATCATTGTTATTATTTAAATTATATTAATGAGACCATAGCTCTTGTGGCCATTCCACCTTAATGCAGAATTTTCATAGTAAAAGAGGTAAATAGAGTTTTTCTTTGTTTTTCTAATATTACTTATTTAGTTCTGAACATTAAACTTATCTCTTTTACAAAGTATCTAAAACCTTTGTCAGTGTCTTTTCAGAACAATACCTCTGTGGTATTATGTAGCAACATTAACACTTAGTTCATCCATGTTTTTTTTGCAGAAGGAGAACTTTGTAATTTACCCTGGAAAGTGCTGTCCTCAGTGTGTGCCCAACTCCTGTCTGGTATCAGGGAAAGAGTACAAGGTAACCTTAAATACATTGGGCTCAATTTTTTTTTTCAACAACAAAATTTCTGTTTTTTAAACCTAAGCAGATAACAAGAAATGGAAAGCATTGAAGGTGTATGAAAACTTTTTAGAAATAAAAATTACTGATGGATCCCTTGGCGCTGAAAGCTTCTTGGCAGTCCTATGGTTCTGACAGAAATTAAAATAATTGATAAGAAATACACTTTATTCTACAACATATTTTGGGAGTTGTTTCCAATACTTTTGTGATTTATTCCATCCTGAATAAGATTTTACAAGGATACAGAGGAACTAATCTCTTCCTCTTGGTTTGTTTTATTGCTGAAAAACTGCATACTTCATCGTTCAATTAAAAAAGTTATTTTTGCATATTATATACATGTTCCTAATAATCATTTTAAAAGCAATGGGATGATTGTTCAAAAATGTGCTTTAAAAAAGTATTATAAAAAACAATCAATATATAAAATAATATTATATAAAAGTCACTTAATAGGGACATTTTAAGCCAAGAACAGGTTCTTCTGTGTATGTAGGGTTTGAAGGGTTGTGGAAATATGTTACCCAGCCATGTTTCTGAAGGCAGTACAGTGGTAATGACAGAATGAGATCCTTGGATCAGTTTGTTACTGACTACTGACCCTTCTTGTTTGGAACCTTTATTATGTTCTTCTAGTTTCAGTCTTACAAAATTTTAATGCTTGTTCGATGTGTAATAATGTTCAAGAAATTCTGTTTTTTCCTGCACAACCACACCATTTAAGGTATTTGCATGCTTCATATCTACAGTAAGCGCAAACATTATTCCTGGAGTGAAACAAATGTTTAGTGATTACACTGCATACATGTTTCTGCATAAAAATCTTTTAGTTAAAAATGACTCCTTGATCAAATATTATTTTACTCGTAAAGTACCTTGTGGTACCAATTTTAATTGACAGGTACTTTATACAAATTAAATATAATTTGTAAATTCATTAACTTTGAACAGAGGCAGGTGGCAGTAATTAAATGTTAATTGGTATTCCTGCCATGCAGTATCTTTTATTCCAGTAATTACTGTAACTTTAAGCTGTTTCTTCTTGTTGATTCAACTCCTCATGCTTTCTTTATATACTGCATATTTTTTATGGTTCTTTTTATGAGTGTGTGGGATGCTGGCAAGGAATTTATCAAGTGAGAAGTGATGTGAGAAACATCTTGGTTCTCTTTGTGTGTTTTTTCTGAATTGAGTGTCCTTGCCTTGACTTTCTTCTTCTGCAGCATGGAGAGCAATGGAAAAAAAATTCCTGTACTGCATGTATCTGTGATCAAGGTGAAGTCCGTTGTCACACCCAGACCTGCCCAAAACTCAGCTGTGAGAGGGTCAGTAGAAGCTAATCTCTCTCTCCTCATACAGAATCTTCAAACACATTCTCAACCAAATTGTTTTTCCTTCTGAATTTAAAGTATTTTATTATTTTTAAAATATGGAACCATGAGTTGTTTTTTCTTTTATTATCATTCAGTTTGGAAGCAGCAGATTTTAAACTTGTCTTGTCACTGCTGTGACTTATATTCTGTATACTGAGCATGCATTCCTTCAGAATTTGCTTTTTTAAAGTCACCCACAATTTATAATGCTGTATAAACTGTAAATTACTTTCCAATAGTGTTGGCATTGATAGTAGGAGCAATGCAAGCTCTTAGACACAGAGGGGGTGTGGATTTTTCACTTCTGGGTGAAAGAGGGAATCTGCACACTTTTTACTTTCCAGAAAAGGTGGGTCTAGACACCATCCCCTGCTTGATCCTTGCTGCTTTCCCATATAATATTCTATGTCAATAGGATGGAAAGAGAAAGAAACAGTATTGACACATTTATTATCTAGCTCTTAGTGTAGAGCACAATATGCAAAATACAAAACAAATAAAATAATATGATATAATTGCTGTTTTTCTTTTCTTTGTTGGTATTATTAAGAAGTCTAAAAACACCTGTAGATACACTATTGTCATTTGAAGCGAGTCCCTAATATGTGCTCTCGCTGGAAGGCATTGTTGTATCCTGTCTTACACTATCACTTTTATGGAGGTTTCTACTGCTCAGATTCAGTGCTTGTAAAAGGGGACACCATTGATGGCAGGGTAGTGGGAGTTATATTTTTGTTGTATTATTATTTTTGCACTGCAGTTTTACCAACTCTAAATCATCTTATTGTTGTATTATGCTATGTTCTTATTTTGTCCTTTTTGAATTTTGAACCAAAAAACTGGTTTACAAAATGAACATCCAAAACCATCTCTTAAGACATGCCCTATTGAAGTTAATAACATTTGTTAATGAGGAGAATAATAAACTACCTGTGTTTATGCATAGGGCCAGAACAAAGTGAAGAAAGTTGGCTTGTGCTGTGAGGAGTGTGTGTCTTCCAAAGGCAACTGCCTGTATGACAACTCTATCCATTATCATGGCGAGATGTGGAACAGTACAGGCTGCGAGTTCTGTATGTGTGATCAAGGACAAGTCCTGTGTCAGAAAGCAGAATGTGCCCGAGTGGACTGCACATGGGTAAGGGAAACTATTTCTGGGTGAACCTCCTTTAATCAAGAATAAACAGTAGCAGAAAAAATATAAATAATGCATTAATAATTTGACTTAGGGTATTTAAACTATTTTTCCAGTCACAGCAGGGCATTGATAACCACAATCAGTTGTGCACATACAAATGCAGCCATTAGAATTTGTACCAAAATTCTTGTTCACGGCAAAGGTAGCTGCGCTGAATTGCGCTATTATTCAGTGTGCCAAATCTAGCTTTTCACTGTCCAAAGAAGATACCCAGTATAATGGTAGATTAATTTATTATGTTATGTTATGTCTACTTAATATGGAATGTTAATGTGGAATCTGGTAACTAAAGGAAAATTTTGATGCGTGAAAAAAAAAAAAGGTACACAACATTATTTCACCTTCATTTACATTTTCTGGATTGTTTTCTTGAAATCAGTCACTTGCTGTAGTCATTTTGGAAAAGATTTGATGGGCCTCTTTTAACTACGTTTTCCATGAACACTTGCTGTCATTATTGTTGTAATGGAAAATTAAAATCCTGTAGAAAATGGAAAAAACTACATTTAGTTTTTAATTTATCTCAAGCAGAGTGATGCATTTGTAGTTCAGTGGCAGAATTTTCGTCTGTTATGCTGGAGGTGTATGTTCGACTCCTGGCCAATGCACACATTGTACTTTTAATAAATTGCCTCTTGGAGATAGTAAAGATTCCTCTACTAATAAAATGGAAAAAATAATATGTATATTATATTGACATTTTTATTAATTTTACATATCACATTATGTTAAAATCTGAAATAACATTGATAATAAATAATTAACATGAATAAATATCTGTAGTGTAGAGTTAGTAAATGTTTGAATACTACTACAGGGGGAGTAGAAACCAGTTCTACCAGTTGACCAGCACACCAACAATCTCCAGGATGCTTGAAGAAAGTAAAGGAATTTAAGATGCCCTTAAAAAGATGCCTTAAAATTTCAATAGAGGTCTTTACTTGTATTTTAAATACTATTCATTAAAGCCACTATATAAAATAAGTTTTATAATTATAATCTAAAATAACAAAGTGACAATAAAAAGACAATAACAACAAACATCTAAGAATAGTGATGTTATAATACCAAACCAAAAATGTGTTCACATCTCTCTTAAATCCCCCTCCTCCCCATTCCCCACTTTGAGGATGAGAAAGCTGGGACACCATGCAGAGTGAGAAGGGACAAAGGGGTAGCTGAAAGGGTGAAGGAGGGATATGACAGATGAAATTTGAAAAACGAGATTCGATATCAAAAGAAATTCAGTGAGATAGGTCATGCTGTATTATGAGTTATATTTAAATTACCATCACGTTCCTAAGCATGAATATACATTTGCAGATTTAATACACAGTTTAAACTTGAAGAACAGGATTAGCTCCAAATCGTTTAAGAAATAAAATGGTAAAAACTGTGATATCTGGAGGTTAATTATTGGTCTTTCAGTTTGTGCTTCTTCACGCATCAAAGACAATAAATAGGGTGCAGGGAGGGACTTTTTTGGACTGGGAGCTTAAATGTTAATGTAATCTATGGAGGTTTATCTTAGAGAAAAATTTTGAGCAAAGTTTGTTAGTTCTGTACAACAGTGTCCTGCTGCCATGAGGAAAATAAATAAATAAAACTCATGCTTTTCACACTTTTTTCTCTAGGTTAGGACTTTTTATCTGATTACTAAGACTTCAGAAACTCCTGCCTAGGAGTACTCTCAATACTCCTCTTGAAAATTGTAGCCTTCAAGGCCAATATTTGTCCAGCCCATTAAATAGCATAAACCTTTGGTGTTATGGCAAGAGCTTACTTTCAGAAAGTATTTTGCATAGAAATACAATTGCTTCTGTTCTAACAATTGACATTTTCAATTAAATATTTAACACACTTAGCTTAGTATAATTTAACCAATATGCTTTTATGCTGTTAGTTATCTCCAAATGAAAAAAAAGTGGTGTATCTCTTTAAGAGAAATGTGTTTGCCTGGTTTTCAGAAGTGCTACATTTTTTGACGCTAAAAACAGCATCAGAAATACATTTTGCGATGCTAAAAATGGCATCAAAAACACATTAGTAGGAGAATACAATATGCCAAGTTCTTGGCAGATGGCTGTACAGTTCTGTGCTTTGCTTTGTCAAATAGCTTTACTCCCTGCTTTCATTAAAGTTCTTTATTTTCCTACAACTATCTTGGAATCTCTGATTTATATTGGTGTCCCTGTCACCCCAAATATAAATTTGTGGCTACACCACTGCTGACAGCTGATTCTTTGTCGATTTACATGATAGAGACACCTTTGCAACGTTTTGAGCAGAGGGCAGGGAAATTATGGCATTTTAATAAATCAAATACATATTTTAATGTATTCATGGCATTTTTATGTAAAGTATGTAAACATGAACAAAGAAAACACATTGCAAAACACATTCACAACAATCTGTTTTTAGATATCCATCTGAGTAATCTCACTTTGTGATACAGCCCTACGGTATCCTCTTTGCCATTGAAGATGTTAACTCTAGATGTTACTGCTACTTTTATTATTAATATGAATTTAATATTTAACAAACTATACTACATAAAATTAATAAATAGCAAATATATTCAGTCCTGTCAGTAATATATTCAGTCAAAATAGCATATATATTACTTATTGTATTTTATTATCATAGATATAAAATAATATAATAATAATAATTGCTTACATTTATATAGCGCTTTTCTGGACACTCCACTCAAAGCGCTTTACAGGCAATGGGGACTCCCCTCCACCACCACCAATGTGCAGCATCCACCTGGATGATGCGACGGCAGCCATAGTGCGCCAGAACGCTCACCACACATCAGCGATCAGTGGGGAGGAGAGCAGAGTAATTAAGCCAATATATAGAGGGGGATTGTTAGGAGGCCATGATTGATAAAGGCCGATGGGAAATTTGGCTAGGACGCCGGGGTACACCCCTACTCTTTTCGAGAAACACCCAGGGATTTTTAATGACCACAAAGTGTCAGGACCTCGGTTTTACGTCTCATCCGAAGGACGGCGCCTGTTTACAGTATAGTGTCCCCGTCACTACACTGGGGCATTAGGACCCACATGAGCCGCAGGGTTAGCGCCCCCTGCTGGCCCCACTAACGCCTCGTCCAGCAGCAACCTTAGTTTTTCCCAGGAGGTCTCCCATCCAGGTACTGACCAGGCTCACACCTGCTTAGCTTCAGTGGGTTGCCAGTTGTGAGTTGCAGGGCGATATGGCTGCTGGAATAAGAATTATTCCAGCAGCCAATAAGAAAATAAGATTTCCTTATTCCAATAAGAAAATAAGAATTAATTATCACAATGGGGTAATTTGTTAAAGGTTCAACCAGTGGCAGGCAAGAATTCTACCACTTAACCACCAATGCATCACTCTGCTTGTACATGGTAAATCAAAAACTACAAGTGTTTAATATAATATATAAATGTATATCGACTACAAATAATTTAAATTAATGATATAATTACAGACCTGAATTGTTCCAGAATAAAACAATGGGAATAAAAATATTAAATACAAACGTGCATGTAATTACAGAGAAACACTAAAAACAGCTTATTATAAATCACAAACATTTTGTTGTAATTATTGTGGCTTTGTTGTGGTGAAAGTGTGGTTTCCTTATAGAAAAACCCTTTATATAATGCAGTGGTTCTCAAACTTTTTGGACCAAGTACCACCCCTAATCCAACCAAAGCATCCAAGTACCACCTTCAAGTCATCATCTCATAGGAACCCCAGAAATTCTCAATGACCAACATGAGCGCATGTGCACACACACTCACACATACATATAATAAATATTATAATAATAAACTTTTTTTGATATATTAAAATGTGGCTTCTCAAAGTGTTTTACAGAAAAAAAACAACAACACATAAAAATAAAAAAGCACCATTTCAGTGAGAGGGGTGAGCCTGTTTAAACGTGAGCCTCAACTAAATGTGAGCCTGTTTAGTTGAGCAAAGCAGATGTGAATTAATTTTTCGAGCCTTGATACAATTCACAACAGAGTCTAACAGATATTAAATCGTCAGGCATTTTCTTGACGGCAAAGGTGGATGTTGCAATGAAACCATTAATTTCTGGAGCAACCTCTCTAATTCGTGCAACTACACCGCTGTGTTGGCTTGTCATTGCTCTAGCACCGTCTGTACAAACTCCGACACATTTTATCCAGTTGATGCCATTCTCTTAGATAAATTCATTCAGAAGCTGAAATATGCGCTCTCCTGTAGTTCCTGTTGGTAGCGGCGTACAGAACAGAAAGTCCTCACGGGACGTACCCTCAAACTTGTATCTAACGTAAACGAGCAAATTGGCCAAATTGACTACAGACTCAGCTAATTGCAGTGGAAAACATCTGCTCATCTTAACGCGCTCTGTCAGCGTACTTTTGATATAATCCTTCATTTCAATAATTCTATGAATGACTGTGTCTTTCAGGGAGGGCAGCAGGTCGAGCTGTTCAGCAGCTTTTTCTCCACACATAATAGTGTGGGGGTTACCTGCTTTAGCAATCCGCAAGCTTGCATTTTTCCATGTTTCCGTTTTTATTTCAGTGTTTATTTTAAGTATTTATTTCATGCGCATGGGAGAGAAACACAGAGACGCTCGGTGTATTTTTCTCAAATTAACTTAGAACAGTTCTTATATTATATTTTTCTGTTATTTTTCACGCTTTCCTGTGCTCGCAAGAGTACCAGCGCTCGTAGCACGCATTTCTATGTATTCCTGTGTTTACAACGTTGGCATTGTTCCAAAATCACGCACATTTTCCTTTCTCCCGATTTGCTGGAGATACAGTAGCTTTTTTTAAAGACAATTGGTCACTTGCGTCTGTAGCACGCATTCCTATAGAGTGGTATAGAATTACAGAGTATCTCTTGTGTCCACTGAAGTATTAGCGCGCACTGTATCGTAGTACGTAGGCTGCGTATTCGAAACGTATAAAAATACAAAATATGAAAACTCGTCCCGATTTTTTCAGCGCACACAATACAGTTCCAGGGTCATTTGGCGTACCACCTGGCAGCACGCCACTTACCACTGCAGGTACGCGTACCACAGTTTGAGAACCACTGATATAATGTATCAGCTGCAGAGCCTCATTTCCTACAGTACGCAACCTTAAGTCATTGTTTGAAAGTCATTCAAGTATCTACTAGCCTCTTTTTTGTTTTTTGCATTTGCTTTTAAATATGATGTGTTTTAAAGCCACTGTATATTATATATACAATTAAAATCTAAAAATAAATTATTATTTTCTAATAACTGTTTATACACAATTACGTATTAATTCTGTGTATGTAATTAAAAAATCTCTTAGTGTTCATCATTAGCTCAGGAAAGCATTAATCGGCTAATAAACATTTAATTCTCAATTAAATATTAAAATATTAATCTTAACTAAGTTTAATTTGTCAGCTGCACACAGATGTTTTACATTAAGGATTCACTTTGACACCTTTTACAGGCAATTTGACAGAGTGCAGTCCTGCATCAGAATATTTGAAAATAAAAATTGTTTTTATGTTGAAGTGTTTGCCATATAGCCACACATCTCACCTGACATCTTCTCCTTTATTTTAATTGGCTGCATTTTTATTAAAAAACTCTCAACACAAAGATACGTTTATTAATTTATTTTGGTAAATATATTTTTTCAATATACAGTAATTTTGCTAAGGTTACAACACAAAAGGGGATCTGATTTTTTTTTACATTTAGAATATATAGATCAGTAGAATATGTAATGTTCTTAAATACTACAAATATGTTTTTTTTATTATGGGCATTTGATTATTTTTGTTATTTTTTAATTTGATTAACATAAACCGGCAATGTTTTAGAAATGGCTTTTTAACTTACAGCAAAATTTAAAACAAGGCATGATATTGGGCATAAATTACAAACTGTGCAGTTGTTTTTTAATTACTTTTCTTTTGCCAACTCTCATTCAATTATCATATCTCTGGAATATAGTTTTCAGTTTTGCAATTATTCTGGATCTATTTAAGAATAATAAAGTTATGATAAGTCACTTCAAAGAAACAAACTGCGAATGCTTCGTGCATGCAAAGCATTAAATCAATCAAAGTAAATCAATTAAATTAATTAGTTTTTAATGTTTTCCTTTTATGTAAGACCTTTGTAAATGCTGACCTTTCACCTGTCTGGTATTTGTAATTAGAAGAGAGAATTGGTCTTATTCAACAGGGAGAACAACTGGTTCACTTTCCAGGAAGATGCTGTCCAGAATGCACGTCGATGAGCAGTTTCTGTGTGTATAAGGAGCATACCAAAAAGGTAAATAATTGTCGCAATAAATAATTGTGTTTGATTAAATGAAAATCAGATATAGTGGCTAACGTTAAACATATCTGCTCTCTGTGTCTCCAAAGGTGTGATTCTGATCAAATCAGAAACTCAGCATAGGCACATTAAGTGATGTATTTAACCTGGTGGCTGCATGGCCTTGATCTTTAATGTGGAAGTGGTCTGTCTTTACTGCAAAAGCATCAGTAAGAACAGCAAAACAAATACTACTAGGTAAAACATATTACACCCTTTCTGTTGTCTACTGCTAGAAGCAGATTTGTGATTATGATTAAGCCTAACCCTTTATAAATAAATAAAGGGTTAGGCTTAATGATTTCTACGTACAAGAAAGAAAATGTACAAGAAAGACAGTTTCTTTCAGCCGTGCAATGTACATTTGAATATTAATGTTAAATTGAATATGTGTCTGCCCATTTTTTTCTCAGTGAAGACTGCTAATGCTGATACCATGTTTCACAACCATGGCCTAGTAGACCCTTTAGCTTGTCTCTGCTAGCAGGTGATTTTAAAGAAGAGGTTGCAGACCAGGGTGTTATAAGATCCTGCTGAAAAAGGTCAACATTAAGTGGTGTTTATCCAGCTCCACAAATTAACATTTATCCAGCAGTGAAGGGGCAAGACACATTAATTAGCAGTTCCACATAGCTGAAGGCAGACCATGACTAAATAAAGAATTTAAATCACACCTTTAACTTATACGGCAATAAAATATTTAAACATTTTATTATACTTGAAGCTTTCTTATTCTTCTTATTGTTATTATTATTATTGTTGTAGCTAATGTTAGATCCTGACCAGACGGAAATAAGCTGGCAACATTTTGAGGAAAGAAGGGACATATTGCATGGTTAAGGTTAGTTTAGTGAAAAAGTACAGATGCAGCCACTCAGAACACATGTTAAAACTCTCTGTTGCGTTAGAGGTAGTAATAATAATAATAATAATAATAATTGCTTACACTTATATAGCGCTTTTCTGGACACTCCACTCAAAGCGCTTTACAGGCAATGGGGACTCCCCTCCACCACCACCAATGTGCAGCATCCACCTGGATAGTACAGTATGTCATGGTGTACTTTGCTATGTGGTTCACTGGCCAAAGACAATCAATAGGTGGCACTTGTGGTGCATTAGATGTTAGTGAAATGATTGCTTCGTTTTATCTGTTTCCCTACTGTGCATCTTTAAATCCATGTAATATGAAATATTAATATAGAATTATGCAACCAAAGGGTAATTGTGGTAATGAACAATAAAAATAACAGAAGTATAATGTCTTTGAACATCATAAACAATAATTTATTGAATAAATATAGATAATGTATACAACTGGTAGTGGTATCTGAAAATAAAAAAAATAAAGTACACAACAGTATTCCACCTTCTTTTTATGTGTCAACATTTTATGTGTCAAAGTCTTTAACTTGGTCACTTACTGTGGTTATTTTGAAAAAGTTATGACATGCTTGTTCTAGCTATATAACATGTATATACTTTAGAAAAATGATTTAAGTTATAATGTTTATGAATAGTTGCTCTTGTTATTGTAAAAAAGTAGTAGTGATTTTACTGAATCTGCTTAATAGGAACTATCATTGTGCAATCATGTAAGTAAAGAAAGTTTGGTAGCTTAAAATAAAAATATTTTTAACATAATGATATGAATTTATGGATCTAAATATAATATTAGTAATAATATTTATAATGCTGGTAGTAAACTTTCTTATGTCTATTTGTAAACATCTGCATTGATTTCTTTAGCTCTTTCACTTGTGGTTATTTTAGATACATTTTGACATGTTCATTTTAACTACATTATGTTGTCGTCATTGTTGTAAGGGACAATGACACACTCAAAGTTTGTTATGTTGCTTACCGAACCCAGGCAATGCTGAGGAGTGGTAAAGTGGTAGCCTATCACTTAGAATGTCTCAGGTTCAGTTCTTGGTCAGGTCAAAGGTTTTATTTTTAACAAATAAAACTTCTCTAAAAATAAAATACTAAATAATATGTATACTCTTTTGACATTTTTATTATTTTTGTATATCACAAAATATTAATATATTTGTAATAAATTAATAACATAAATGAACATGAATGAGTAAGCAAACTACTGGTTTACAACAAACCTTCAAAAATTATATACATGTTTTGAATTATAATCTTGAATAACATAGTTGTATTAGAGACACCATTGAAGCAATTTTTTTTCTTCAAAAATGGACAAGGATCCCCTGTAGAGTGAAAACTGCAAAAAAGTGGAGGAGTGGTGGTAGCTAAGCTTCTCTGTGAGCCTTCGCCTGGAGCTTGGCTTGCATTTTGCCATGGCCCAAAACGTCAGGACCTCAGCTTATCGGTTTCTGTACATCTTGAGATAAAAGCAGCACAAACTACTTTCTACAGTACTTTCTGTGATATATATATATAACTCTAATCTTATGAGATGGTATGGTCTCTTTAAAATAGAACATATTCATATTTACAATTCCACACACACATCACATAAAGTCATATCCACACATATGTTTGCTGAAACCATCATGTACAAGTCAAGGAACTGCAGTATGGTTGGTATACTGTATACATGTACTGTATAACTAGTACATACAGTATGATACTGTATGGTTTCAAAGCCACAACAGTACAGTATGTGTGAAATATATTTTTCAAATTTTTAAGATGTAAACCTGTAAAAATCACATTGCATTCACAACAAACTGTAATAGTCAACTATTTTTATATATGCAGCTGAGTAATTTGTGTTTTATAAAACAGACCTGTAATGCCCTGTAATGCAATGTAATGAACACTCCCAGTTCTGTGTTAGCAGCATGGGAAATAACAGGCTGGATACAACTTTACAAGCTCACTGATAGTTTCATTGCCCTTTTCATTAAAGTGGAGTGTGACAATCGTGTAGGTAGGGACAGAAAGTGGAGGAATCCGCTGGACGCAGAGAAAGGATTCATGGTGTTAATTTTATCTAATTGCTCTACATTTGTGGTTATTGTCTCTTTTAGCTGATTGGTTACATTTTAATTAACTTAAAGCCAGTGCAATAATTCTTGAATTATCATATGAGAGAGAGTTACTTATGTCTTTTAACCATACATACAATATACCATAGTACATTCTGCAATGGTATAGCATAGTGGTGGAGTTTGTTATATTTGTAGTTGTATAATTATTGAATTATAATATAGAAGTTCACTTGGTAGTTTATAGTGGTTTATAGAGCCCTATATTTGATTAACTCTTAATGAAAATTGTGTATTCATAATTGTTCTACTAGGGGATGTTGTCTGACCTCCAAGGGGAGAAGCAGCTTGCTGTACGTTTTTAGCATATTCTTGACATGTCATCAGTGTTTGCTTTGTACTAGACAGCTGTGTGATGTTTCTTTCTTACCAGAACCTGGAGAAGTGGCAGGATGACCCTTGTAAGGAGTGCGAATGCAGGGATTCTCAGGTGATCTGCTACCAGCGCTCCTGCCACACCTGTCCTGTTGGCACATTGGCTGTGACTGTAGAAGGGGAGTGCTGCCCAGAGTGCCTTGCTGGTTAGTAAAAAAAACTAAATGTAGATTCCAGTGAGTGTTTGGAATGGCATTTTCTTGGCAGTTCTTAAGGCAAGTAGAATTGTGACTTAAAATGGATTGTTTCAAACTAACTAGACATTTGTGAGAACGTTTATGTGGTTATTTAGTGAATGGATATTTTAGTAAGGTGCACAAATGTCTCTGTTGTATGTGTATGCATATACACCTATTGTTCAATAAATCAAAACAAAATAAATAAACAAAATAAAATGACAAAAATATTCTACTAAAAACAAAGGTACCAAACAAATTATTGACTAACTAAATTAACAAAACAAAACTAATCAGACAGAAGGGATAAGCACATTCTTTAAATGCCACAACTTAAAACACCTAGTAATTTTGGCATGTGAAAAAGACTTAAGTGATTGTGCATTTCTGTGATTTCTTAAATTAAATTATATATGGAAATTGCAGTGCAACTTGTAATATTAGGACAGTAAAATGAAATGTGTTGGTTTTGCTGTGTACTAATGAAACCTGTTTTTCAGTGTACATTTTTACATTTAGATTTATTTTTTTTTTCTAGGTATTACTTTGCATACACGTTTAGCCAAGTTAGAACAGTTTCATTTGTTCAGACACCACCGTTTATTGAAGTAGGATCTGATCGTTTTGAAAAAAACATGATGATTTCTATTGGTGTAGGAGGTTTTACTGCAGATATTTTGCATTGCAGTCAAAGACCAAATTTTTCATGAAACACCATGAAAGTCCTTTATACAGTACACCCAAGCACACTTATCACAATGTGAAGTTTTAAACCATCCCCAATAATCTAATTAGCACCCAGTGTGCCTAGTACAGGCCATGTCTGGACCTCTACTGCTAGGCCAGATGATAATAGAGTACCTGCGTAGTCCTGTCTACAAGCTAATACTATGCAATGATGTGAAATCATAAATAGTGTAGTAGTCTAAACTTCAATTCAATTCTTCTAAACTGGTTCTAGTGCTTGGATGTCCTAATACATTTATAAGTTAAATCGGAAATATTCACCCCAAAAATATATCACATTTTGTACAATTACAAATGATAAAGAAGTTAATTAAAATATTATGTTGTATGTATGAAATCAAATTGAAGTGAGTGAATACCTTTGCAAGGCACTGTATGTACAGAGAACTGCTTCAATATTTTCCAGTAAAGTAGAAAAATAATAGCAGAATGGTGTAAGAGTTTCTGGAGGCAATCTTATGAGGCATTTTTTTATGTGCTACAAGGGATGCTGTGACCGACTCACAAAAAAATATTGCATTTCTCTGTATTCTAAGTAGACCCCGATATTATGTCAGTATGATATTTAGAAAGATGAACCCCCATGCACAAGGTTTATTGTATTTTGGAGTTGTTTAACATTTACCGGTCCTGGAGCCCTTGCTAAGATAGGAGGAGTCATTAACTCATTAAATTCCAGGAGATTTGGCCAAACTCTTTGTTTCCTCTGCCATGAAGCCTCAAGCCTGTCCAAAAATGGGCTTTCCAGCATTGCAGTGGGCTAAAGCATTCACCCAAATCAATAAACAAATGGTTATCTGCACACAAAATAAATATCCATCTCAGTCTCCAAACCTCAGTCCACTTAAACATTTGTGGATTAAATTCACAAAGGCATTACAAATGGAAACTAAATTTGTGTGGGCTTAGTACAGTTCTGCCTGTATCATCAACTTCCACATTCCTCCTCCCAGAGCATCAGAACCTATTCCCCTTTCAGAAGTGCCAGAACATCATACTACAGTACAAGAAGCATTTTGTCAGTATAATCGTTGCCAGAGGAAGATTTATTAAATACTGACTACAGGGTTGTAAATGAATGCTACCATAATATTTCTGGTCTTTACCTGTAACAACTGTAACTTTGCTCTGTGTAGTGTCATTAAGATTACAATATATCGTTTTAAATCTAAACTTATTTTTTAAATCTAAATGATATCCATTCTATAAATAATCCAGTTTTATGGATTGTTTTGTTCCTAATTTTTTGTGGCATGATTAAATCTGAAGGCATTGTATATTAGATATCTAACTAGACATTGAATTTTATTGTCAGTCATGCCCTTGTACCTTATTACACTGTTTCTACTCACTGTGTAAATATCAAAGTTATATTTCAGGATCTTGTTTATGTAGATATGGTTAAGCATCATTACTTTTATCATTGAAAAAAGTAAGAAGAAGGAAAACGGATGTTAATGTTCTTTGCCATTTTATAAATTTGTTTTCAGTTGAGTGTCATTCTGATTGTCTGACCTGCTTCCAGTCCCCTGACCACTGCAACAGCTGTCGAAATGAAAGCTTATTACTTCAAGGTGGCCACTGTGTCCGGACGTGTTCAAGGGGATTTTTCAAGAATGGCAGAGTCTGTTCAGGTACATAGAAAATAGAGTTAATGCAGTACTGTTCATTGAGCTGTGAGTTTACATTTTCCTTCTAGAAATGTTACATGAAAACTAAATTAATGGCAGATATATTGCTACAAGCCTTTCCCCGTTGACTGCAATGTACTGTTTCCAGCTTGCAATTCACCAGAAAATGCTGAATACATTCCAATGCTATGAAGCTTTCTTTTGAGATAAGGCTGATAGCTTTGGAATTTAGCTGCTGCATTTTCAGAGTGAATGAGCCTGGCTGCTGAAAAATGCATCAGATTAGGTTTGAAGCATTATATTAATGTGTAAATTGGCTGAAGAATCAATGTGGTGAAACTGTTTCATGGCCTGCATGAGGAGTACCAGGCTAAATGGGCATTGTTTTCTGAGACTGTCACCTCAATATGGAGGATAAAGAACTGGGGCTGACAATTATTGAAATTGGAGTTGGTTCATATAGATAACTATGTTTGAATACAATAAGAATGTTTATAAAAAATAAGAGGCTCTGAAAGATAGTGACAGCAATGGAGTGCTGTTAGTGTAAACAAGGGAGAGTTTGTGAAAGCTTACTTATGGTTTTAATAGTTGCAATACTTGTATTTGTTCTGTGAAAATGAAAAATCTAATGTGATGTAAGTTGTTATAGCCCTAGCCACTAAGAACATGAATTGCAAAGACAATTTTGTTGCGTCGTTGCGGAGAATTCCTTTAATTGAAATAAATGCATAAAACTTGCTATTCACTGTAGCTTACTGTATTGGGAGCTGTGCAGTTTGATCCAGGAAATTGGGATCTGTGTTAATTCTTTACAAAATTATTAATAAATGCTGTCTCATTGTTTCAATATACTGATGAGGCATCAAATCTTTCCAACAGTATACAGATGCAGCCATCTAAAATGCAGATCAAAACTCATGTCTGCAGAAAGCACACTCTGCTTTGCCAAAGTTACATCCAGCATAGTTCTTTTTGCTCTTCCCAACTCAAAACAGATCACTAGATAGCACTTGTGTTGTGTTAAATGTTAAAGGGATGCCACACTTGTGTTTGCGACACCTGCCTTGGTGCCTACAAAACGCCTTGTGCATTCCAGATGGTTGCATCTGTACTGGAGATATATTTGATGTACTAAAAAGGGTAAAAGGATAATGTTCATGTTAATTCTGTGGGTTTTGTAACCTTGTCTAGTTAGACTCAACTCAGTTATTTTCAATGCTTGATTGTTTCTGTACAGCCTGCAAGGAAACTTGTGCCACCTGTGACAGTGAATTTGAATGCACCTTGTGTGCAGAGTCCTTGCTGATCAGAAATGGAAAATGTGTAAGATCTTGTGGAAAAGGATTTTATCAGGAACACACGCATTGTGCAGGTAAGCAGATTTTTTTTTCGAAGAATTGAATAAAAATAATATAACTTATTTTATGATTCTTTAGAATTGTTGTTACAAATGGGGGTAACAAAAATAGTGAATAACAGGAATGAGCCAAGTGGATTAGTCAATAAGTAAAATAAATAATCATAGCCCCTAACATGTAAGGATTTTTTTCAGAATATACCCGAGCAGTTGGTATACTAGAGGCAGGTAAATTATTTGTTCTCATGTTTGATCTTTGGTGAAAAGAGTAATAATTCAGGCACACTTTGTTAAACAAGTATTTAAAAACAATGACCATACATACTACACACAGCATAAACATACAATACACGTTTCTCTATGTACAGTATGTACAGATAAGGTATTACCTTGTCTGTACATTTCCTAACATTCCAATCACCCAGAAAAACCCAGACTGCTACTAAGTATTCTACTCTTAAATAATGCCTACAGAGGCCAAAATAACAGATAACATGCCTTCTTAACTAAATAGAAAACAATCTATGATTAAATCTCTCTCTAACCCAGATACCACAAAATAAATGGTATCTGTAAATATACCCCACGAGCAGGAAAGGCTGTTTTTAACCAAGGTATTCTTCACTATTCTTCACTTCCCTAGAAACACAGAATAGCAAGCTCTCTTTAGCAAGATTAAAATACTTTGCTCTAATCTGTTTTGTTTGTATAATCTTGAAGAAGTGACTCTCACCTGTCACAAGCTTCAGGGTCTGTCTCTTTCTTGTCCCCTTTTTTTCTTGTCGTCTGTTTTTTCTCTTCTCTTGGCATTTGTACCAGACTTTTGTCCTAGAAATGCAGCACATCACATTGTTGGGATTGTTACAAGTAAAGCTTTGTTGTAGGATAAGTAATAACATATTGGGTAAGATGGTTGAAATTGCTGCCTCGCAGCGCTGGGACCCTGGGTTCAGTTCCAGACTTTGGGTGCTATCTGTGTGAGGTTTGTTTACTTGTTCTCCCTGTGTTTGTTTTGGTTTTTACCGGGTGCTCTGGTTTCCTCCCATAATCCAAAGACATATTGGTACAGACGCAGCCATTCAAAACAAGCAGGCGATACCGCATTATTTTGCGGTGCGCTTGACGCGGTATACCGCAAGTTACGGTATTAATACCATATATTCTCAAATAGAACCACATGATACCGCAAGTAAAATAATATAACCATAATTTCCGCAAGGTGGAGCTAGTAAAGCTCAACCTCTCATGTTTGAGCTGTCGCCATCAAAGTCTTTACCGAAAAATATTACTAATAGTATTTATAATGAATGACCTTGGACAAGCTGTAAACTCAAAGTATTGCCCTGGTCCACATTCTTTTTTTCATTGACCGTCTTTGTAAAAGTAACACCATATCATTTCGTTAATCCAATCACGCATTTGTTTCCAATCATGCAAAGTACAGTAATTTTTTAGAATCTCCGATTCACCATGCC